CCAGGTTTGCGCCATTAAAAACTTGTAATTCTTTTTCTGCTTCTAATTGTATCCCCTGACTAAAATCAGCTACAAAATCAGCTAATACCTGAGATTTTATGGCGGTCCTAGGTTGATAAGTGATTTCGTATTCACTTAATTCTATTGCCCATTTTGCTAATCTTCCTGATAATTCATGTTTATGCAAAATGTTTCGTAATGGAAAAGCAGTAACCACATCAACGGGATGACATTGAAAGTAAGGTCTTAATTTTCTAGATGCCATGATCAAAGCAAGTGCTAACTTTTCTAGTTGCGGGTACCGTGTTTCTGCATCTAACAAAGAGTTGCTTACGTAATAGATAGGAGATTGTTTACCTTGATCCTCCCGGACCAAAACAGCACTTACCGCAACTTCTGATATGGCAAGATAGATGAGTAACTTCTCTCCTACCTTTGGTTTCGCCAACAATGGTGGATTTGACAAATATACTTTCAGATTCTTAAGTGCTTGTTGACAATCTTCGTTCCATTCAAAATGATCTTGCTTCTTTAAAGCTGAGAAAAATTTGAAGCATTTTTCTGAAGACTTGGAAATGAATCTCCCCAGAGCTGCAATTTTCCCAGTTAGTCTTTGAACTTCTTTTTTACTCGTAAGTACATCAGGGATTTCCTCTATTGCATTGATCTGTGAAGGATTTACCTCAACACCACGGTTAGAGACAAGGAAACCCAAAAACTTTCCTGATGCGACCCCGAATGCGCATTTTTCTGGATTGAGTTTCATATTAAACTTTCGTAAAATTTGAAATGTAACAGATAAATGAGAGATGTGATCATGAGTCTGCTGGGTTTTGACGAGCATATCGTCTATATATACCTCCATGGTTTTACCTAAATGTTCTTGGAACATTTTAGTGACCAACCTTTGATAGGTTGCTCCAGCATTTCTGAGACCAAAGGGCATTACTTTATAACAGTAAGTCCCCCTGTCTGTGATAAAAGAAGTTTTCTCTTCATCACTTGGATCCATTTTGATTTGGTTGTAACCTGAATATGCATCTAAAAAACTTAAAAGTTCATGCCCTGCAGTTGCATCAATTAACTGATCTATATGTGGTAAAGGGAAAGAGTCTTTTGGACAAGCTTTGTTAAGGTCTGTATAATCTACACAAACTCGCCACTTACCATTTTTCTTAGGTACTACAACTGTATTAGCTAACCAATTAGGATACTTTACCTCACGGATAGACCCAATTTTTAATAACTTTTGGACCTCATCTTGAATCACCTGGTTTTTGAAAGCTCCTTGCTTTCTTTTATTTTGCTTTATTGGTGTGAATGATGGGTCTTCATTTAGTTTGTGAGTCATCACATCCAGTGGTATTCCTGTCATATCAGCATGGGACCAAGCAAAACAATCTACGTTAGCTTTCGAAAATTCAATTAACATACCTCGCATGTCGGAGCTTAGATTGGCTCCAACATAAACCTTCCGTTCAGGCCATTGCTCAAATAATATCACAGCTTCGAGTTCTTCAATTGTTGTTTTGATATTTTCATTCTCTTCAGGCTCTTGAATTGTGTCAGGTCTCGAGTCTACATCTGTCCGTCCTTGTTCAGCTGCGGTTTGATTGATACCTTCAACTGTTTGCTGTAATTGCTATTTTTCCTTATTTACAATGCTCGTATCTGTTACAGCGTTAATACTCCTGGCTGTCTGCTGATCCCCACGAATTTGGCAAATCCCCCACGGTGACGGGAATTTAATAACTTGATGTAGAGTTGACGGGACAGCATCCATATCATGGATCCAAGGTCTCCCCATGATCATATTGTAAGCCATTTCCATATCTACTACCTGAAATTTAGTTTCTTTAACAACACCTGCAGCAAAAGTTGTTAGAATTACCTCTCCTTTTGTTACCACTTGAATTGTCGAACCCGGACAAGGTATGCGCCTTCGGTATCATTTTGTCTTCAGCTTGCATTTCACGTAATACCCTTAGTAGTATAATATTTACGAAACTTCCTGGATCAATCAAAACTCGTTTTACATTAGTGTCGTGTACAAGTAAAGATATTACCAGTGCGTCGTTGTGGGGGGTCATCACTCCTTCGGTATCTGCATCATCGAAAGAAATACTTTCGTTTTCTAAAACCTGCCGTACCCGTTTCCCGTGTGTAATCGTTACTTTAGAAACCTTGTTGGAAGCCGTATATGTTACACCATAAATATCTTCTCCCCCACTTATAACATTCACGGTTCTCTTGGGTGATGGGGGCTTTGGTGGCTCTTGCCTATTTTTCATATAGGCTTGCTTACCTTTCTCACTAAATAACTCAGTGAGATACCCTTGTTTCAATAGATGGTCCACTTCACTTTGTAAGAATCTACATTCTGAAGTCTTATGCCCGTGATCATTGTGGAATTCGCACCAATGATCTGGATTGCGCCTATTTGGATTTGACCGCATCTCTTTTGGCCACCGTACCTTATCTCCCATGCTCCTCAAAATAGCTACGATCTCGGAGGTAGTGACATTGAAATTATATCCACCGAATCTCGCCTTTAAACTTCTGTCATCATCTCGTGACTCTTGTCTGGTTCGGTCATTTCTGAACCTTGATGAAGAACCAGATTCCCTGTTCCTTGATTTTTGATCATATTGTTGATTATCCTGCTTTGACCGTGAGTCTTTTCCTGCAAGTCCCATATATGGATCGTATCTATTTTTACCTGATCTTTTTTCGGTTTCTGACCTCCTGGAATTGCTCCTTTCTTCATGATGAAACTGAGGTACGGTATCTTCCTCAATTCGCAACTTCGTACTGTACCTGTTATAAACGCCATTCCATGTGGTTGCAGGGAACTCTCGAAGGCTTTCTTTAAGTCTTCTCGTGGCTTCTGAACTTCTATCATTTAAGTTGCTTGCAAAAGCTATTGCAACCCAATTATCAGGTACACGAGGTAAAGTCATCCTTTCACGTTGGAATCTATCAACAAAATCTCTGATCAACTCTGAGTCCCCTTGTTTAATTTTGAAAATGTCTTCCATTCTTTTCTCAACCTTTTGAGCTCCCGAGTGTGCTTTAATAAAAGAATCTGCAAGCTCAGCAAAAGAGTTTATAGAATTTTCAGGTAAAAGAGAATACCAAGTTAATGCACCCTTGGTGAGTGTTTCTCCAAATTTCTTGACCAACACTGATTCAATTTCTTGCTTGGTCAAGTCGTTGCCTTTTACACCTGTAGTAAATGCAATTACGTGATCACGTGGGTCTGTTGTGCCATCACATTTCGAGATGTCAGGCATTTTGAACTTCTTAGGGATTGGAAGGGGAGCAACACTTGGTTTCCAAGGTTGTTGCGAGTATTTATCCACATCCACTCCTTTGATTACAGGGGGAACTCCAGGGATTTGCTTGATGCGCTCATTTTGTTCCTTAAGCTGTTTCTGCAAAGTTAGTACTAAATTTTGCAAATGAGAATTATTTGAATTACATGGTTCTCCTTCCTGTGGTTCACTGGAGGTTCCTCCATTTCCAGAATTAACAAGGCCAGAACGAGGATTCTCCAATGTATTGTTATTAGGCGTAGGTGTGGGTGGTGCAACAGGTAATCGGCTAACTAAAGCTTGAAGAGCTTTGCTAACCGTTGCATCAATTATTTTTTGTAAAGCTTCATCTACCCCTTCAAAATATTCAGATTGCTCTTGTTCATCAGCACGAGATTCAGGAGTAGGAGTGCCTTCACGAGATTGACGTGGTGAATTTTGAGGGGAATGAACCACGTTAATGTTTTGTAAATCTCCTTGATTTTGGTGGATTTGATTTCCATGGTTCCCCAAGGTGTTTTCACTGTTATTGTTGTTGTGGTTGTTTGACATGATGATAACAACGGAGAAAATGTAACTTAAAAAGAATAGATTATCAGATTCCCGGTAACGGAACCAATTTGTTTAACCAAAAAACTGAACGTTTGGTTAAAGCTAGAAATTAAGAGAAATTCGGGTTACTCATAATCAAGAGACACAAATAATAAAAGACTTTTGAAAGTTATAATAGAGCAGTGAACAGTTTTGTATTTCAGTGTTATCTCAATAGTTCTTCGTGTCCTTACAGATGTTGAGACCTTCCCCTTTTATAGTTGATTCTAGGAGAATGTGTAATGCCTTTGTCTTAATGAGGCAATTATGAGCAATAAATGATATTAAAAGAAACGTTACTCAATCATTTCTATTAAATACAAATTCTTTCAACGTATTTGATATTTTGATGCTGAATTTGGACTCTTTTACATTATCAAATTCACTTCTTAAATTCCTTCTGACCGCTGAGCTTTAAATGACTCGAACAGGCACGAGACTCGTGCTAAGACTGCTATTTGAGTAGCGACTCGTGCCTCTTTAAGTTTCTTCTCTCCCGTATCTGTTGTTGCCCGTTCCTCTTGATTGATTACCACGCTTTGACCATTTGACCAGTCCACGTGTCTTGACACATCACCTTCAATATATAAATTCAGTTTTTTCCCAATACAACTTCAAGACTAAGTATCTTGAATTTTTGAGTTGTTAATTTGATATTTAGGACTAAGTTATCTTGAATTTCTTAACTGTTAATTTAAAATCTAGGACATAAGATTCGAACTTCAGGACACAATTTTCGAACTTTAAGATACGATGTACTGAAGTTTAAATTTTGAGTTTTAAATTCTAGGACGCCGAATCCTGAAGTTTAAGGGAAATTAGTTAATTTAAATATATTGTAAGCTGTGAATAATTTTTAAACAACAAGCCTAAAAATGAAAATTTGGTGTTCTTTCCACGTAATTATATGTCTTTAATATGAGTAAAATTAGGACCCAAAAGAAAAGTTATTGGGCCTCATTTTTGGGCTAGACAAAATTATTGAGCCCAATAACAAATTCTAAGCCCAATTTCTTACTCCACTGACCCAAACCCGAAATTGCCCTCCAGAACTATAAATAGAAAAATACAAAATCAGTACATTCTTTTATACTCATTGCTCTTCAAACTCCATGGAAATACAGAGGAAAATCATGGCGAGAGGAGATCGAGACCGACTCAGTGATTTGCCCGATGCTATTCTACTATACATCCTCTCTATGTTGACGGAGGGAAAAGATGTTGTGAGAACGAGCGTATTATCTCAGCGATGGCGGTTTCTTTGGAAGTCCGTTGCAGTTTCACTCAATTTCGGCGTCCTCGATTACCCCTATGATGAAAGAACCAAAAAGAAAATTCTTGCTTTCGTAGCTTCAATTAATAGAGAGCTTCATTATTGGAGGTCTTGCGAGAAAATCAAAGCATTTAGGGTTTTTCCCGTTAAATACAAAGAGTATCTTGTTAAAGATGTGGGTTTTTGGGTACATTTTGCAACTAAGGTTGCTAATGTTGAAGAGTTTACACTTAAATTTTGCATTGTCAATTCTCCAGATTACGTGTATAAGTTTCCTCAGTTTGCGTATAAGAATACGTCGTTAAGGAATTTGGTTTTGGGAAACTGCGGGTTAAACCCTTCTGGTAGTGTGAACTGGAGCAGTCTCATTTCTCTTTCAATTGGGCACCTGAAATTGACGGACTGTGTAATGAAAAAAATAATATCAGGTTGCCCTAAATTGGAGAGCTTGGAACTGGATAATGTTTTGGGCATTCGTCGTTTGGTAATCAGCTCTATGAAGCTGAGAAAGTTGATCATATTAAATGATGATAACAATGAATATTTGCAGTGGCATGATGAAAATATCCCTTCACTCGAAATATTTTCCCCATATGTTCAAAATTTGGTACTTTCAGGGTTCTTATACAATGAGATACGCTTGCAGCAGAGCAATGTGGCTTCACTTGTCACTGCAGTTCTTAATTTAAATGTTGATTTTGTTGAATTTGAAGATGAAGAAGAGAAATTGGAGAAGGAGTGTAGATATTTGAAGGAACTTCTTCTCAGGGTTTCCCATGTCGAGAATGTTGAATTGGGTCCCTGGTGCATCAAGGTTTATTCATACTCTGGATTATCCAGAATTCTGATTTTCATTTTGCTTTTAATTCATCAGTTTAGTAACATTAATAACTATGCCACTACTTAGGATAATCTGATAACTAAGTTTTTAATTACTGAAGAATAAAAATCTCGTTGCCAATCTTGCTGGACAATGGCTATTGAACAAAATCTTTTATGATGAACTGTGAGAATAAAGAGTTTGCAATGCACAGAAAACATTTAAAATTTGGATTTCCAAACCAACCTTGAACACTTTGATGTGGCTTGTGGCAAAACACGGTCGTATAATCCCAGCTGTTTTTATGAATTATTCAACATTTTGCATGTCATTTATTAGATGTGTTGCATTTCCTTGTTCTCACATATTCTGGTTTATCTATTTGGTTTATAAGTGGCTTTCCATACTGGAGCTGAAAGGGTGGCAATCTCCACCATCAAGCTGGAAATACTTAAAACTTATCGCAGCCTTGGAACACTTGCCTGGAATTTACAGCATTCTACAGAGTTCATCGGAGCTTGAGACGTTGGTCATTGACTGGGCCAATTACAAAACAATAGTAAGTTTCGGTTAGACCTTTATTCTTGTTACTTCATTTAAATCAAACAACCATTAGTGGAAGAAGAAGGCGATATATATCAGTATATTTCTTATCTTTAGTACTTTAGGTGAAAAATCACTCGTTTTAAAAAAAAAAAAAAAAAAAAAATTGAACCACCTTAGTGGTATATTTGAAGATTGAGGATTCCCCAATTTGTGACAAAAGTATGGGATATAAACCTCTAATGTGTAACCAAAAAGAGTGTTTCTTTATAGAAGGATTTACAACATGAACCATAACTAGCCTCAGTGAGCTTTACAACAATAGCTTCTAATGTGTGGAGAGAGTTGTTCCCCTGTACACTTCTTCCCAAAGAACTAAAAAGGTAAAAAAGTGAAGACTATTCTCAAGTGACATGTGAGCTCACAAAAGATCTTAGGGGGGAGTTCATCTTGTTGCATTATTGGAGGTAAGCTTTGGGCTTTCTTATGAATTCAGGAGGAAGGGGGCTGCCACTTATCAACCCTTAAGTGCCCCCTAGCTTCTCTTGATGTTTAGTTAAAGCTGAAAATTTTCTTCTGGGTCCAATAGATGACTGTATCCAGCTAAAGAATCAGCCACACCTTTGGCTTCTCTGTAACAGTGTGTCCCTTGAAGATTTCAACCTTTTGCCTTATTTTGAGCTGTGGAGAATATTAGTATATGTTTTCATTGGGTTGGAATTAATGGGAATTTAGAGATTATTTTAGTTCAGCTCTGTTCGCATCATTTTGCTGTGTCTTTAAGCTCAAGACTTTCAGTTTGTTCTCCCTTCTTTGAAGAAAACAAGAATTATTTACATTTTTGTGTTGCTATGTGTTTGAATTTATAGCTGAAACTGTTATGAATAGACAGAACCATTTATCCAACTTCTTTGTCAAACATACAGTTGCAACTCCTCTCTGTGTTGTGGGACAGTAAAGCATTATTTGCATTGTTTGTATTGCACTGTTATCATCATTTTTCTTTAGCTTCTCTTGGTAGTGAGTGAAAGCTGAAAAGCTTCTTATCTGCGTCCAATAGGTGGCTCTATCCCACTAAAGAATCAGCCACACCTTGACTTCTTTACCTTGAATCAACTCTTCAATCTCTTCAATAGTATGTTCATAGTGCCAAGAAGGTTTTGCGACTTCCTTGACAACATTTAAAATAAGTAACGAATCGGCTTCCACCCAAATGTTTCTAATACCATGTTCAAGACACCATCTGGGTCTGTAAGGAAGTGCAAATGCTTCAGTGATTTTGTTTGTCTGCAGCCGCCATATGTGTGTAGTTTTACCCATCAGGGTGAGTATTTCTCAATGTGGTCAAAGAAATTTCTCCAGGGAATGCGTAGTTCAAATTCTGAAATCTTCATTTGAAAGTTGGAATGCTACTTTGCAAGGATTTCAGGATCTGTTTTTTAGTCTTAAAAGTTGATCATTTCTCTTTGCTAGATCTGCTCTCAATTTATTTTCCTCAAGGAAATAGTTCAGCTTGAGTAGCTTTGACAGAAACTTCGTCAAATTATTATCAGTTCTCTGAGTTGTCCAGTTCTACAATCAACTTTGTTGTAGATGTAGGTAAAGATGTTTAACAAGGGGTAGTAGTACTCGCCTTCATGCGAGGAGATGAAGGATCAGCTTCAATGAAGCTTTCTGACATTCTATTTGTTGTTTGCATGTACCACTTTGTAACATTTGCTAAGCACTTGACATGTTCCTTGAATCTAAAAATTAATCTCCTTTTTAATTTTATCCACAATTAACTCCTTGACTTTCTACTCCATCTTAGGAGAATAACTGGTTAATATAGCAGATTTTTCCTGCAGGACCGGCTGCCAAGTTACACAAATGAGGTTCAACAGAGCAGGAGTGTTGAGACACACAATGTTGACTGCTCACTGCTACACCTAAAGACCATCAAGATCATTAACTTTCATGGACCGCTAAGTGGAAATAATCTTGTACTTCGATTGGTCAAATATTTGCTCAAGAATGCAACAGTGCTAGAAAAATTGGTCATTGTTGCGAAATTCGAAGGGAGTAATGTGCCTCGGGATTATGTTAAAGTGGAACAGGAGTTCCTAAGCTTTCCAAGATCATCTTTGCACGCTTCAGTTGTCTTTTCTTATGGATGATCTTTGTACCCTCTTGTCTTTTCTTATGGACGATCTTTGCACGCTTCAGCTGTTTTTTCATTTTGAAACTGTTTTGGTGCTGATAGACATGGTTAGGATTTTACTTGTCAGTATCCAGGGAGTTGTTAATGGTTCTTCATGTCTAAGCAACAATGTGTTTATTCTCTGATCATCATGTAAGAAATCTTGCTCTAAATGTGATGTAAACTTCTATTCATATTGAAGAATCATGATCATGTTTTTACACTATGAAAATATAAGGTTGAAAGTATTATTTCAAGATTCATTATATAGCCTATGTTATTAACACAAACATAAGAAAAGGGCAGAATTTTGGGTTTCTTTTTTTGAAAATGAACTGCAATAGACTTGTTTATATAGTCCATGACTAGTATTTCGAGGTATGAGTTGAATGCAGTGAATTCCAGCCACATGAAGATCTTGCATTGGCAATAACCTATAGAATTAAGACAATACTAACTGCTAACTGTTGATTACAACTTGTGTGGGCTATGATGATGAGAAATCCATTAAGAGAAAGCTTGAGTTTGCCAAGGATATGGGTATTGAGCATATCTTCTTACGAGAACCTATATGAAGATCAGGAAAAAAAATTACCATCAATTGTGATGCTGACATGAGATGGTTTACTTGGCAAATTGTGCATTTGTCTATGTCACATTCAGCTAATCTTGGCTAAATGGTACTTCTCTCGTTAAAATGGAACTTTTTACATATTCTCATCAGCTCTTCTGCAACAAATCAGTCTCATCTTTTATTTCACCTTGCAAATGTGCAGTGTCATCGTAACACTCGGTATAGAATGACGGTCAGTACGAGGAAGAAGGACAAAACAATACATGGGGTGACATATGGAAAAGGTATTAAAAGAAGTTGATTTAAGTGGAACTTTTGACTTTGTTAGTCGGGCTAGTCGTGTATTAAACATCCAATTTTGTTTGTTATAAAGGCGTCAACGCAGTTTATCTGCTGCCTGCTATCGTTGCCCATACCTCATGGTCAACCCGTGGACAGAGGGATGGACGAGCAATTGTACCACTGTTACAAATCATTTAGAGCAAAAAAAAAAAAAAAAAGGTTCAGAAGCTACTTTTACTTGGACTTGAAAGTTCAGGAAAAAGCACTATTTTCAAAGAGGTATTGCCTATCTGGATCTGTCTAAGTTGTCATATTGCATACAGCTTGCTAGAAGAAATGTTTGTTCTTCATTTACTTTTTTGTAGCTGTAGTCAAGCTTCTATATATGGCATCCCTTAGAAATTTTCCTGACAATTTCTGCCATGTGTCTGCATATGTATAACAACATCAACAACAACAACAACATCCCAGTATAATCCCACAGGTGGGGTCTGGGGAAGGTAATATGTACGCAGACCTTACCCCTACCCCGAGGGGCAGAGAGGCTGTTTCCAGGAGACCCTCGGCTCAAGAGAGCAACAAAAGATAATATATTAGTACTATCAATATGCTTTTAATAAAATAACATAAAATACATAACATAAAATAACAAAATAACAGCAATATAAGAAATATAGAAAATACGAAAAAGATGGAAGGTATATTAATAACCAACAGATAAGGCCCTACATTAGTAGCTGATCAATAGCATCCTAAGACTAACTCCTAACTGGCTAATCTCACCCTGTACATATGTCTGCATATGTATAGATGTTCGAAAATGTCAGTATATAGCTTGCTCATTTGTCCGCTCTTTTTCATTTGTTTAAGGAAATAGAAACTGCTTGATTGTTGCATTTCATTTGCTGCAAGTAAATTTTTTGCATAATTGGATTACTTTCTCTGCTTCAGAAAGTTCCGTCTAAACAAAAACATATGACGAAGTGTAAGAATAGAAAATGTTATCCAATTCATGGAGTTTTTTTTCTCCCTCCATCCCTATTTGTATAATTTATTCCATCTTGGAATGTCCTAAGGCATTCATTATTCCTATACACACTTCAAGAATTCAAAATATTTTAACTATTCGAATTTTCAACTTTGATGTGATGTTCTTGGTCGAACTAACTGTTCAACCATTATTTTAATGGTTTGTTCCGGTTCCATTTTATAAAGTCAAATTAACATCTGGAACTTCATTCCCAGTCAAATGTCGTTATATATAATGGGATGGAAGAAGTATCTGTTAGGACCGGGAAAAAGTCAGATGTCATGCGGAAGCTAGCAAAACAAATCTTGAACGACGATAAATCACACAATAAAGAGAAATCTATCAAAAGAAACACAAACATTTTAACGTGGTTCGGTCAACTGACTTACGTCCACAACGGAGATGAGCAATCCACTATAATAAAAAGAGAGTACAAAATATCGAGAGAACAACCTCACGAAGAGGCAAACACAAGTGACACACTAACACTTGTCCCGTAAAGTTCTCCCCCTAAATACGACTCTCAAGCCCCCTATGGCTACATTGTGGATGCTACTGAATGTGAAGGAAGGATCCTCAATTTATAGAAATCCAAACCTTTTCCTACAAAAAAAAGGACTAGCCAAATATTGGAGATTTATAATTTCCTTTTACAAAAAGGAAAACCCAGTTAAGGTAATTATATTGCCTTTTCCTTCAAGAGATAAGAAAATCAAATATGGTAAGAAAATTATAGCAACCACCTAACATTATCATCAATGAGAAGAAGCTGAGGCTTGGTCTAAATAGTGAAATCCCTCATTCAGTGCGCAACACTGGCTGGATGTCTTCCTAATCTAGAGCTTAAAGCTTCTCTCTCCAACCAAAATAATGCTAGCAGAGAAACTCCAACCATTTACCAGCTAGTTACGGGTTGTTGTTTACTAGAAAACTTTATGCCCTTGGTTTCATTAACTGGTGCAATTTGCTTGGCCATGTATACTTGTATAGGAAGATTGGTCTGGAAGTGTGATGAGCAGTGTGGGGTTGTGGGCCAGTGTAGTCTTTCTAATCATGAATGATAACTTCCTTACTTCTTGTAGACCCCATAATGAGGTTGTCGCCATTATAGATAAACGAGATATTTATTAGAAATAATAGTTTTCTGGAAACCTGTCTTAGGGCATCTTGAAAGAAGTACCTGCACCAGCAACCCAAATTGAATCGAAATCCAGAAAACCTCTACATTACGAATTAGAACTTAATGTATTTTAAACATGCGTGGACATGTATAACAGAAGAGAAAGCTGAAAATCCAAGTTTGAGACAATATGAGTATTTGGTCTCATGGCAATGTATCTAGGTTAATGGTTGGCCATGTTCTTGTTTGTATGTCTCTCAGTTCCTCTTCTCTTTCCTGGCTGTCCATGCTTCCTGCTCTGCCCTGTAGCATATTGCACTTTGCGGGTTAAATGAAATGCATTTGTAAATATGGACTTTCCTCAGTCATTAAGTGCTTGATTGAACTTGCTTTATATTATTAGTATACTCATTTTCTTCTAGGAAGCTTTTGTATGGGAACAAGTTTACTGCTGAACATATCAAGCTGATGGTTCAGAGCGACATGTACAAGTATTTGAGCATTCTTCTTGATGTAAGGGGAGCGCTTTGAGCAGGAGACTTTTCAAGAATAGAGGCTGAAGGTTCTTTCACATTGTGCTCTATTACAAAGTACTTGCCCCAGTTGTGTAGCATAGTGTAGCGTTGGACTTGGAGCTCTGGCTCCCTTCGCCTCTGCAGTGCGGGCTCGATTTCCACTAGTGGTATTTTGTGTCTGAACTGTAGCTGCTTACCTTCAAAAGTAAACTGCAGAGGTAGAAGAAAGAAAAGAATTGTAGAAACATTATACTTTACTGCTCCGAAGTTTCACCCATACTCAAATAGTCAAAGTTGCTGAACAAATCTATCGGGTTTTTCTTCAATTAGATTTGCGAGAAGTGAACTTGAGTTACATTAATGTAGCTTGTACATGTTAGCGTTTTATTTCTATGGTTCAGAGTTATAGTCATTTAGGTTCATGAATTTGTTGTTGGGATAAAAAAATAATATCCTGCCCAGGAATAATATTGTCACGACCCGAATTTCCCACCATCAGAGTCGTGATGGCGCCTACTCGTGGTAGCTAGGCAAGCCAACTTAATTACCTTTTCATCACTAAACAATTATCTTAACAGTTTATAGCGTCAATATAGAACATGAACTTTAATAAGAATAATACCGGAAGTCTGATTTATAAATACGAATCAAAACGCAGAACAGTCAATAATAGCCTCTACCCAAGATTTGGTGTCACATTACTCACGAACTACTAAGAATATACTACATACAAAGGTCTGAAAGAAACATATAAGCTGTCTGTCTCGAAACAATGAGGCAACAGTCAAAAAGAGAACATAAAGAAGAGACGCCGGGCCTGCGGACGCCTGCAAGGCTACCTCAGTCTCGTGAAAATGAAAGCCTGCTCCCGTACTACTGCTGCTGTTGCTCCTTAAAACCTGGACCTGTGCAAAAATACACAGAAGTGTAGCATCAGCACAACCGACCCCATGTGCTGGTAAGTGTCTAGCCTAACCCCGGCGAAGTAGTGACGAGGCTAGACCGGACACCACATAAACCTATGCAGTTATAAATATACAACGGAACAAAAAAACACCAAACAGCTAACAATATGGGAGGGGAAATCATGCTGTGGGGAGATAACAGTAATCCCGAATAACAAACTAAAGCAGCTCAGATTCTCAATGAACAAGGGATCAATACTCAATATAAACACATGGTATCAGTAACTGTTGCGGCGTGCAACCCGGTCCATAATTACCATTGTTGCGGCGTGCAACCCGATCCACAAATACCACTGTTGCAGCGTGCAACCCGGCCCGCAACCCGATCCTCATATATTATTGTTGCGGCGCGCAACCCGATCCTCATATATTATTGTTGCGGCGTGCAACCCGACCCTCAGATATCATTGTTGCGGCGTGCAACCCGATCCTCAATATCATTGTTGCGGCGTGCAACCCGATCCTCAATATCATTGTTGCGGCGTGCAACCAGACCCTCAAATATCATTGTTGCGGCGTGCAAGCCGATCCTCAATATCATTGTTGCGGCATGCAACCCGATCCTCAATATCATTGTTGCGGCGTGCAACCCACTCCACCAAGATCATATTTCCCCATCCAGACAACAGTCACAAATACGGGGCAAGAGAGTAAATAAACAATAATGAAAATCCCGGCAAGGGAACACACACGACAACAACTTTAAAACCCCGGCAAGGGTTCAACATCAATGATCTTGGTATCCCGGCAAGGGAGAGAAAAACC